ATTGACAAAAGGGCGGACTTATCTGCGGGATTTTAGGGTAGTCGTGTTCAAAATAAAGTCCAAAAATTCTAGTAGTGTGTCAGGGTTTTCATGCATGTTGAACCCATGATTCAACTTTTCAAAATTTTTTAAAGCTTTTCAAAATGGGTGATCACAATTTTAGCGAACACTGCAAGAATAACGATTGCGGTTTACCTGGCATAACTTGTGAAGGAAGCATTGCTGTAAGCACAAAGTTCAAATTCGGTATCAGCAGGTCTAATTAGCCTGATGTTAGAGTTTTCAGTTTTTTTTGTCTGACTTGTTTTCTAAGGCGAGATAATGCTCTAAATGACTCAAAACCCTTCTTGAAGTCCCACCGTAATTTTACACTAAGGAAGAGTGATCGGTGATTTGCGGGAGACGGCCCTTCTGCACCGCTAGCCTTAGCGGCCTAATTGCTGCACGCCGCTGTGTTGAAGAGAAGTGCAGGCGCTGCGAACGGACGAGTTATGCAAAACACTCTCACAGAATTCGGAAAAGATCTTGAGCTTAACGTGAGACAAAATGTTGAACGTGGATGACGGTTTTCCAGGTTGCACGTGCAGATTTCATGGTGTTAAAAAACTACGAAGGGAGAGGCAACCACTTTGGCGAGTAAAAAAGTTCAACCTCATTGAATCTTTGTCTTATCTGAACGCTGCCATTGTTACTGTTCGCAAATTTGTACTGCTTGCTTTGGAATATTCAGAAGTACTTGAAAACTCTGCTGAATTATAAGGACGGAGTGATTAGCGCCGCGCTGAGTATTTAGCGCTAAGAGGAGCGGTGCAAAAGCGCATACATCTGCGATTTGATGTGTACTGTAAATCAGGTTGGAGTCAGCTCCACAAGATGGTACTTGGAGAAAGGCAAAAGACTTCTATGAAAGAGATATCAACGATCAAACAGTGTCTACTTACTTTTGAACACTGTACAATACATTCTCAAAGTTGAATACTGCGCATAGTACAAAGCTAATTTCTTCGCTTATTCCATTAAATCTTCAATCAGTCGCTCAGGTTTCTAGATCTTTGGAGAATTGGCTTGTGGACAAGCAATTTTTTCATCATTTTTGATCTTTTAGTTTAAAAGATTGCCCTTCGTTATAGAGAGAAACGTGGAAATCGTGCTGATAACCTTGCTCTGTTTTTATGCTCAGTGTCATTAGAGTATGCTTCTTTGGGACAGGGTGAACCTGATGCACTCGGGGAGGGGTTGAGTTATGCAACTGGATATGAAGAGTTATGATCCAATAAGTAAAATCATCTTAAATCTAGACATTTTTTACTTACTTCTTAAGTAATTATGATTCTTTTCATTGCTACAGTTACTTCCACGCCATGGCTCCAACTCCAACTAATCTGCATTTATATAGCACACCAGGCTCGCCAGTAAGCTTAGCCGTTAACTTGCTGTGCATCATAACAATCACCTTTACTACTTCACTTTCAGGCTACGAATGATGCTTGGAAATGTTTGACGTGCAAGTTCCCCAATTGCACATATCAGGAAACGAAAGTGCAATCCAGTTTCGAGCATATCCTCATACACTGCAAGGTTGTCAAAAAACCTGGCCGAAGTCGTATTTAGAATTTTACCTTCAGGGTCCAACCCATCATCATTTTTATCTTGCCGATATAGTTAAAGGAGAGGCTGAGAACTGTAAGAGCTAAAGTATCCGAAATCCAAAAAAAACCCCACATTTCAGGGCAAGAGATCTTGTACAGCCAGGAATACGAGGATAACGTGGGCTCGGTACGATTGCCGTATGTCATAAGCGAGGTGGTGCCACTTGGACAAGGATTCGGTATGGAATAAGAGTGACCAATTGTTTTCAAACTTGCTTTTTAGATCGTGTTTGTGATTACTTTCAATTTTTATTATTATAATTATCTTCATCTGTTGTTGTTTCAGAAGGTATAGTGAGAATCGTACTGCCTCCCGACCAGCCGTCACGCTCAAGTGCTAGGTCGATACCAGTTATGTTGAAAGTGTAAGTCAGTTTTTGAAAAGATCAAAGCTAGCCATAACTTACTTATCATAAGTATCGCGGGTTAGGCCCCAGCTCCAGCTGTCAGTGGTTGGAAGTTGAAATTCTCCTGTATTGGCGTACAGAGTTGAAAGTTCCGCCACCGCAGTGGAAGTGCACGTTGGTGTACA